TCCATGCATATCCCTATAAGAAAAAAGCATTACAATCTCCAGGGTTAGAGACTAAGAAAAGAGGCAGAGTACTGAATGTTAAGAACTCCAAGTGAAGTCTTGGAAGAATTATAAATAGACCTAAATTGAGTGTTCCAAAAATCTAGTGGGATCACCTCTTAAGCATCCTGGTTCTTTCCTGAATTCCCTACCTCCAAGGTTTGAATAGGTTCTGTAGTGACAATGCAATACCTGAGCTTCCCGGGAATGCCAACTGGACATCAAGCCACGGCCCTCCCATCCTGTTGACTGCTGCACTATTTGTCCCCTTTGGACATGTGATACCATATAGTCGTGAGGTAACTGAATGAGGAGTAACTGAGCAGCAAAGATAGAAACAGGTTTTTGTCTTTTTTTAACTTATAATGAACTTTTATTAATAAAGAATGAATGGACCTATACCTGTAGAATTCAATACCACCACCACCACTCCTGGAAATACATGTTTTTTCCTGGGTGTGTTTTTCTTTTATTTTTTAAGGCTCAATTTTTAAAAGATTGTTATTCAATGTATTCTTTAAATGCATTCATTTTCCCTCTAACTTTATCAATATGCTGCCCCTACTGAATGTCATCCTTACCTGTAAGCACAGTGATTACCTAACTATAAGGTATGACTTGAATGGTACCGAAAAAAAAAATCCCTATGTTTACAAATATTTCTTCTTGCCACTTGTAATCTTCACTTGATACTTGTAATCTTCACAAATCTTTCTCTGAGGAATTAGATGGTCATGATAAAGTATAATAATAATAATTAATTAATAATAATAAACAATAACAACTAGTAAGAAAACCATAATAAGCTATTAACACCTTTGAACAAAGTAATTTCTAAGTCAGAGATGAAACTGAGCAAATAGGGCAGAAACTCAGAAGGGCCCATGCAAGCAAACTAGGCTATGATTAAGGGCCCATCCTAAAAAACGCTCAGTCCTCTGATCAGGAGAGCATTTGAAAGCACCTAGGTAGACAGCTAAAGGGGTAGGGGTTTGAAGGAAACAACCCAAAAAAGTATTTTCCCCTTAATTTAAAGGCAAGGAAATTGAATATAGTAAAGTTTATTGAATAGGACCACAGGAACATGCCAACATGGCCCAGCTGAAAGTAACTAAAAGTTCCTGAGTGTCTGCCCTACTACTGAGCCTTAATTAAAGGTTCCATTTCTTCCCCTTTAAATATAAAAATTCATTATTTTTAAGCAAAAGGTTAGACCCTTGCTTCGTATTCTTAAGAGTTTTATGCTACTCCTTAAGAACAACTTTTCATGCAAATAAACTCTCGGTTTAATTGAAGATCATGAAATAACTTCCCTACGTCTAAAACCCTTCTAAATGTTAGGTATGAGTAATTATTTATGTTACATCACACACAGAAAATAAACAGCAAAGACCCCACTCACATTTGAAAATCATTTACCATTCCTACTCCCCAAGCTTCCTCAAATGGGAAATGGAATAACAAGACTGATCATAATTGGATTAAGAACTATAATTCTTTAATTCATTCATCAAATTGAGGCATTTGGAACAGTTTATTTACAAAGTTGTTTAGACAGTTTTGTGTAGTGTTTTTTAAGATAAACCAAAATGCCTTTCTGAAAGAAGTTTCAGATTCCAAATCATTAACATATGAAAACCAAATGTAGACAATTTACGAATGGGTGTTTTAAAACAATGTTTGGAACAAAATTGGGCTTTTATTTTATTAACTATCTACAAATCTAAATTCAGGATATAGTTTATTTGAAACAGCCAAGCACTTTCTTCGCCTTGAAAATAAATCTACATTTCTCAGGCTAAAAAATTGTGATGCGTATGTGAGAGCAGCATTGACTTCAGGTCTAGACAAATAAGTTTTCCAGGTTACTCTCAAAACTCTAAGTAAAACTCTACCACTGGAGGTGATTAGATAGTGGATGAATCATCCAGCTTATGCCAATCAATCATACCCAACAATTTTACCTGCTGGAAATCTAAACAGTGTTCAACATTGGAACTCTAAATTCTTTGAAATCTAGTATATTTTAGATTACGAAAAACAAGTTTTATCCTGCCCTGCATATCTTTTTTATATAATCTAAACATGCCTTCAAAATAATGACTGCCTATCACTCAGTAAAAGAATAGAGCTTTTTCAAGAAGACAGCATATGCTTTAATCATTAAATCACATTTTTCATTTGCTTTATAAGAAAAAGAAATTATTCAAACATTCAAATTCATTCTTTTAAATAGAAAATCACATTTTAAATTCTCCCTATAGTTCATGCCTTACCCCCAACCACACACACAAAAAAACCACCCCAGAAGCCATACCTGAATATAAACTTCACTTTTTTGTTATTTACTATTTACTCCAATATACTCCACAGATAACATCTTTATAAGAGTATATTCATTTTTTCCTTTTACAAAACCATGTGTCAGTCTAAACAGGATATGCATTTACATGTATAGCACTAAGTTAACTTGAAAGAACTACTGGATCTCAAATGCCCCGCTATTTACCAAATACCTTTAAGAGTTCTGAATCCTGTGTATAACATGCCATTCAACCAAGAACTGTTTAAGCTCAACAGCAAAACTAGTACAAGGTTTCTGTATTAAGAGTTGAAGCTCTTTTTTTTTTTTTTCCATACATTAAGCATTTACTCTTTCAGGTCTATGTCAGATTGGTTCAATCTTACCCATGCAAAAAGGCTACAAAAAGAGATTTTTAAAAACCCACACGCAAACAAAATACTCTATTAAGTCTTCATGTATAAGGTTGTTAGAAGACCACTGGAAAGAAAAGAGAAAAAAAAAAAAGAAAGAATTTCAAGCGAGTATGCTACTATATAATTAACACAAATAACTAAATAATTATGCACATCCCTTCCCACCCCCACAATTAAATGTTTTTAAACAACTCATGTGATGAAAGATCTACCTTTTAGGCAAACAACAGCAATCCCTTCCAGTTTAAGGATTTCAGGCTGTATTGCATCAGTTTTAAGTGATGCTTATGATTTTTATCTTGTATAGTTCTGAGGAATAAACAGTTGATGACATAATTTGCAGAACTTTGTACAATGCCGAAGAGAACTTTCAGTGTAAGTGCTTATGATTTTAAATCATTGTGGCTGAATTAATCTAGGCTTCAGTCTCAGAGCTATATTTAAATTAGAAAGAAGCACCCCCAGAAACTTTGTCACATTGTAGCTGCATTTGAAACAAGATTCCTTCCCTATCACAGCTCACAGCAGTTCACATACAGCTGAATTCCTTCAAAATTAGATTGAAATTCAGCAGTTCTGTAAAGACTAAGAAATGGTCCTCTTTTTAAATTCTATAAAAGTCAAATTTTAAAAAAAACAACAACACTGCCCTATACTTTAAAACCATCTGGCCCTTAACCTAATCACTCTTGGCAATCAAGCCTCACTCCTGTAATCCTGATCAAAAACTGCTCTGCTTTTTCTGATTGAATTGTCCATTGCCTAGAATCTCCCACACGCCTACTTCATTGGCCTGTTTTGTTTGTGTGGATTTTTTTTTTAATGGGTACGAGGGGACATTATTTATGAGCATCAAGGAAACAAATCACTCTGTCTAGTCCCTTTGCAGATTCCCACACTTATTACCGAAAATCCCACAGATCTCCCTTGGTCTTGTCCTTGACTAAAGAGCTGTGCTGAGCCCAGAGGCAGCCCCTGGGGAAATCCTCTCTTGCCTTTCTTGACAAACTACTTAGGATATCTGGATATTGTGAGGATCTCAACGGGGATAGAACAAAGTCCTAAACTTCTCTGAAGAAGTACAGCTGACTGCCACCCAGAGTACCTGGGTAGGCTGACACTGAGACTGTCACTCTGCATATTCACAGAATTCCTCATTTTGACCTGCTTTAGTTGAGAAAGAAAGACACTGAGAATGAATTCACATTCAACCACACTGAATTTAGTCGCAGAGGCCGTCTTCAGCAATTCACCAGGGTTAAACTATTTATTAACATATTTGCTTTGCAAAGTATAAGGAAAATTACTATTAACATATGTAAGTAGTGCTTCCCATGCATTCGTGGCCAGCAGATGAACACGCAAGAAACTGCTATCAAATGGAAAATTTTCCAAATCCAATTTGATTTCAACTGGTATAACCTCTTTTCCTTGATTATTACTGTAGCCCCAAAGTGCAAGCGCGATTTCCCATACCTGCGCTTAAAGTGACACAACACGTGAGTGGTCTCCGCTTCGTGCACTGAGGGGGTGGGGTGGGGTGGGGAGTAGTTGCAATTAAAATTAAAGCTTCCGGTCTCTGAAATCCCTTGAATCCTGAAGGATGAGACTAGTTTCCGAAATTCCGGGCGGGAGGGAGGGGGAGTGGTAGGGAGAGGAATTGCAGAAAGCGAAACAAAAAGACGAAAAGGGGGACTAGTAAGGTTGTGGGGTAGGTTGGGGGTCGCCTTTAAATTCTCGGAAGGGTACCGAGCTTTGTCCAACTTTTAGGCTCTGTCGCTTGGCGTTAGCCGCGGGGCACAGACCAGCCGAGGATTTTTCCCTGCACTTCTGCCTTTATCGCTCATCACCACCTCCACCGCCACCGCTTACAAAACAATACCGGCAACGGCGCGCAGGCTCCCCAACAAAAAATATAAAAGTTATCCCATTTCCTGAACTGGATCCAAGCCCACACTCCAGGGTCTTCCCCCCGACAGGCGTCCCCCCGAAGATGACAGGGCCACTTCAAGTCTCCAGCCGCCTCTCGCCTCTCCCTCACCCCCAGCCCAGTCCCCCTCCCTCTGTACTTGAGGAAACTCCGGTGGCGGCCCCCTCCCTCCTCCGCAGGCTCTCCAGCTGGAGCGGGGACGAGTGCTGAGTGGCGGGTACCGCGAGCGGCAGAGGGGAGCTCTGCGCCTTGGAGGTCTGCCCACAACAACATCGGGACGAACAACAAAGTTAAAACGCTGCGTTTCACGCACCTTACCGGGTCTCCTTAATGTCTCCTCTGGCGTGGGATGCAAAGTGGCACAGTGGTGGCCTGGGGGCCCCGGGAGGAGACTGGAGATGGGTTTTGGTGGCTCGCCTTTTTCACTCTGTGTGTGTGTGTGTGTGTGTGTGTGTGTGTGTGTGTGTGTGTGTGTGTGTGTGTGTGAGTTGGTGCGCGCGCGCGTCCCTCTCCCCCAGTCTCTCGCGGCTCGCTCGCTCTGCCCGTGTAGCTCTCAAGGACGAGGTGAAATCCCTTTGCTGGTCATGAGGCGGCTTCAGAGACAAACAACACAATGCGAGTGCAAATAACAAAAGGCAAAAAGACAGTAGGAACAATGGGGGAGGCGAGGGCAGCGCACCAGCCAGCGGTCACCGAGGCCCGGCGCCCGCCCCGGGGGGTGCGGCGAGGGCGGGGGCGGGCACGGGGGTGGCGCCGGGGGGCTCGGACTCTCTCCAGGTCGCCCCCAAGCTCCGGCAAACCCACCCTGACCTCTTTCCTGCAGCTCGCCGCCCGCCTGCCCTCTCTGTCCATCCGAAGGGAAGGAACCTCAGAGTTTGCTTCCCTGCCTGATGCAGAGTAACTAGATTGTAAATAACGCGGTGATTACCCACACCGTGCAGGAATGTTTTAAAAAAAAAACCAACAACAACAATCTGCCCTCCACTTAAAGGAGCGATAAAATGAAATGGCAGGAATGGAAAAAGGCAGGGAGAGTGGGATATCTCTAGATCTCGATGGAGCTCTCGTCTATAAATACGCAGTCATGTTTCGTCAAGTCCCCTTTGTCAACTTCTTCCCTGCGCTGGAACCTCACCCGCTGCCCTGTAACTGTGACCTGGGCCCCTTCGTGCTCCCAACCCTGCTTGCACACAGTAAAGCTCGCCCGGAGAGCACGCGTGGGGGTCTGCGGGTGTTCGCGGAACCATCTGGGAGGCGAGCCGCTGTCTGCCCAGCGCGGAGGCTGGAGCAGCGAGAGGTTTGGTTTTTTAAAGCGACCACTGCCTCCCCGAGCCCGGCTGGGTGCCCGCGGATCCTCGCCACCGGCACTTTGCACCCACCTACTCCTGGATCTGGGGGGAGGGAAGAAAAGTTTTTAGGCGTTCTCATCTCTGCCTCCCGGGTGGTTCAACTGGTTTTGTTTTGTGGGGGTGAAGCCAAAAAACTCAATGCCCAAGCATCAAGAAACGATATTGGGGAGCGGGGGCGGGGGGAAGGATGGGGTCTTGGTTCTGGGCTTGGACTCCTGCGACACTGGAGTTGGCGCCTGAAGGCGAGAGAGAGACAGAGCGAGAGACCCTCAGACTTACATCACTCTCGGCAGCAACTCCGTAGGTATTGCCCTGAGCAGAAGCGGTGGGGCTTAAGTGTGTGCTCTGACAGCTCCCGGGCTGCTCCAGCGCTTATCTCTAAGAATCTTACTTTCATTGACTTAAAACAGCTGACGGTTTGCCGGGCGGGGGTGGGGTGGAGGGGGTGGAATCCTATTAAATCTCAAACGAGGGTGGACGGAGGGCGGGAGCCCTGACTGCTCTTCCTCGAACTGCTATCCAGAAAGTGGCGAGGAGGAGGTGTCGCGAGGGAGGCAGTGGGTCTGGAGGAGGGCGATGGAGCAAAGGGACTGAAACACTAGACGAGCAACACGTTTCTTTTTCTCGGTTTTCCCTTCCTCTTCTCGAGCTTTAAACCGCTTTGAATGTCCCCTTTTCTCATCTCGGTGATTTTTTTTTTTCAGACGCGCATCCATTGAGAGAGCCACGTCCGGGGGCGGGTGTGTGTGTGTGTGGGGGGGGGGCGTTTCCCAGAGTGCAACAACACCACCAGGGGATCAATGACCACAGTCTGTTTATTCTTCATGCGCCTGGGAGAGCAAGGCACTGAAGCAGCATGGGAGGTAGGCTTAGGGCTTGCCTTGTCCGTGCGATCTCTCTCAGACTCCTGGCTGGATTCTAAACGGCAGCTTAGTAAGCAAATACAGTTTCTTAATGCATGCAACACATACTAATCACAATACACTCACCTGGAAAGGTGATGCATCCTTTCTCTCCTTTCCACCATTGGGAGGTTGGTTTCTGGAGGTGGATTGTTAATACCTAAAATTTTGCACTTGTCTAGAGCAGAAACTTTCTGGGGTGTTTGATGATTGATTATTTGGTAACTGCTTTCTAAAAATGGCTAAACACCTTTCCTTAGAACAAAAGTGAGAAATGCAAATCTTAGTAACTCAAGGCAAAATTTTCAAAGTGTCAGCACAGTTATTATCCACTCCCACAAAAAAAAAGCTTCCTCTTCCACAAATATTTGATAGCATAGGGCCCAGTAATTAAGAGAACAATCAAATAAACTCAGGACTTTCATGAAGACTCTAAATTATCATCTGCCTAGAATTTATAAGCCATGCAATCATTTGAAACTTGGATATAGCTCTGGATGTGGTATTCTAAATGTGTATCCTTAAACAATTTTACTGTTTCCTTAAGTGTTTAATGAGAGAGACCACGTATAATAATATTTAAATGGCTAGATCAATGTGGCCTCACCAACTGTGTGAAAAAAATTATCTGTGTATATGCATGAAACACCTTTCCTATATGTTACTTTTTCTCGCATTTCCTATGTCATACAAGCTGCAAGTCCAAGCCTCTTGTGTAATAAGAATATAAGAACTCATCAATGATTGTACTGTGCCTTGAATTTAAGTGTTATTTTTATTTTACAGTTTCTGGCATACATTAACTAATTTTTTTCTCATAATACATATGCAGTTGCTTCTCATAATTAGCTATTACTATGTCAGGCCCAGATCCTTATATAATGTGCAAGAGGCAAATCAGGCCCAACTACAAAAAAAATGGCCCCTCGCTATCAATTACAGTAAAACCTTGGATTCTAAGTAACGTGGTTTGCGAGTCTTCCGCAAGACGAACAAACATTTCTAATACATTTTAACGTGGTAAGAGAGGGTGGTCTTGCAATATGAGTAGTTTGTTTCTGGAACGAATTATGTTCGCAAACGAAGGTATTACTGTATATGAAAATAGATAACATTTGAAAAAGTCATTTACAGTGAACTTCCCCTGGCTTTTAATCTGTTTCTCTCAGGTGATACTCAAATAAAAGGACAGAGTTAATCCTTTACCCCTGGGTCTCTGGCCAGTGGGTGACAAAGGTGCCTGCTTGGCCTCACCTCACTAAATAGAGAGGTGCCACCTCCTCAGGATTTCAACAACTACGGCTTCTTCAGTGCAACAGCTTTGGTGGGCAAGCAGGCTTCCTACCGTCAAGAGAGGAGCAGCTGAGCAAAGTTGCAAGCTGCCTGGTGAGAGAGTGGTAAAACTTGAATTACACCAGCCTCTTCCCTTTTGCTCTTATAGACAGGAAAACTTCCAACCATTATGGTTATTGATACCACATGCCTTAAGACTAACCTATGATCATTATATAGCAACAGTATAGCTGATCAAATACTCCCAGTGGGATGTTTGTTTGTGTTGGGCTTTAAAAAAAAACAACAACCCACGTTTGAAGCAGGGTTGACATATTAAAGATCAGTGTTTCCATTTATCAAGCATTTGCTATGTGCCAGGCTCTTGGCCAAGTGCTTTTCTTATGTATGTCCTGAACCCTTTACTTCTTTTGCAAGAGATGTCACATCCCTGTTTTACAGATGAGAAAACTAAAGGCCAGAAAGGTTAAATGCCGTGCCCCCAAATCATACAGCTTCTAAGTGGTTCTGCCAGAATGTGTATCCAGACAGATTCAGCCTTAACCTTGGGCTGTTTCACTTCACCTTGATGCCACTTGCACTTTATATTGGGGCCACTTTCCAGCAAGAAATATTTCATTAAATGGGTAGATTTAAAATACCAACTTTATACTCTGTACAGTCCAGACATGAGCTATGTTGGTATTTTCACTTACACTGGTCATTAGATAACTGTGAAATTTCCAAGAAAATCTAAATTTTCCATATGGAGCATACATACATAACTACATAGTAAATGTAAAAGGTATTTAGCAATATATATGCAATTGTCTTATTTTGTAGGCTAAGCAATTGTATAATATATATATATATATATATATATATATATATATATATCTCCATATGATATATATATATAATACTAATTTACTAAAATTTTTGAATCTCTATAAATTGAACAGGCATTATTCTAAGTAAGTGCTTAATGTATATAAACTCATTTAATCCTCACAACCACTCCGGGAGGTACACAATTTTATTATATTATTTTACAGATAAGGGAACTGAGGCACAGAGAAGTTATACATCTTGTCTAAGGTTTTACAATTAGCAGCTGATGGAGCCTGGACTCAAACCAAAGTAATGTAGCTTCAAGACTCTTAAAAATTTTGCTGTGCTACTTACTATATATATTCAGATGTATACACAATATACATACATATATTCATGGGCAGATGTATACTATACATAGCTCTCAAAATATGGGGGAAATCAAGGCATATCAACTGAAATTTGTATCAATCTGCAGCCACATATTCTAGCTGCATCACGAGGCAACTAGAAATATTATTGGACAAATACTACATTTGTCCAAGATATTCAAGAGTCCCTAAAAATGTTTGAGGCAATCTCAGCCCCTCTAATATATTTGGAGATATTGAGGGAATGCTAGTAACTATTAGGTGTATTCAATATTTGACCCTAGTTGATTTGCACAAAGTTCATTTTGGATTTATTTGGTCATATATGTTAATAATAGCAGAGACAGAGTATTTAAGAATCCTAAAGATAGAGAGGGATACTAATAAATGTGAAAATATGTGACTGACGAAGTGGAGAGAAATTTAGGTGATGCAAGAGACCAAATATGTCATGTAATCTTAATGGTTATGAATTACCATTTTTATTTTATTTTTTAAAATTAGGGTAGTTTGTCAACTCTCCATTAACAAAAGTGATTATAAAATATGACTTAAGTCTAATAATTATGAATTCAAGCACTGACACCATTCAAAGGAACCTTTAAATATTTGGTGAGAAGCCCAGGCATATGAGTGGTTTATCCCATGTCTGTTTTTACCTGTCTCACCAAACACAATATGCATATAAAATTTTAGAAGTGAGCCTCTGCAAATCAACCAGCTTTAAGAAAGTATTTTGAGGTCATCTTCTCTTTCTCTTCTTTTTCCCTAAATACAATATACAGGATTATCTGTGGAAGGAAAACTAACAACCATCTTCTATCCTTAGGTACTCTTAATCCTGATAACACCTGAGATAGCGACATCTAAAGTATTAATTTTACTGGGCCTAATGCGCCTCTTCAGAAAAATAGAAAAAAGATACCCT